TCAGACATTTAAATTTTGATGTGTGGATGTGTCACATAGGGAATTAGGTTAGAATTTAAGCTTTGTTTATAGGTAAAGTAGATAAGAAATTGATACTTTAATTATTGGGGAAGGAAACGTTCGTTTTTGAGCAATTTGGAATTACTGGGCGAGAGTACGAAGAAATATTCTTGCAACAGACTCTCTGTTAGCGGAGAATACGAGCTTCATTGTATTTCTTTGTATCAAGTGTATACGATGTTAACTGGTGGTATTCCAATTAAGCTGTTGCTCTTTTTATTGCGCGAATCCCGTTATCGCATTCACGCGGAAGATCGGCCGGCGGTTGCCGCGGTGAAAACATTCAAGTGAAAACGGGAGTTGTTGCGCTATCCAGCTAGCCGGTGTTCTGGTTTCCAGCTTCTGAAATTCTCTCGCGAATTCCACTTTAATTTCGTGATTTCCTTATTCACCTCGGACCTCTACGGGGATCCTTCGTATAAAATTTCCGGATTTGTTCGGGGATTTCGCGGCAACTCCGCCGAGCCAAACAGTTTTTTTCGACAAACATTTACGCGGGCGTGTTTCAATCGCGGAGCCGAAACTTACCGAGCGAATCTCGGATTTTTCATTATTTTTAACGCATGGCAGGATAGGGTGATTGATAATCGAACCGCACGAATGTTTGTCGCGCGACCGTTTTGTAATCGTTTGACAAATCGTTGCGGACCCGCACGGACAACAATTCGCCGCGACGGGATCCCGTTTATCGTAGACGGGTACACAGAACACGGCGCTGTTATCGGCGGTTCGAATTAAATAAATTTTCCCGCCGCTTAACAAACAAACACGGGTTCGGCTAGGCCGTTTTGTCCGGCGCCGGCCGGCTCTATAATGTATACGCAGTATCTCGCTGCGTGCAACAACGATTCAGCGGCGAATAATATGACTACGTAACTGCGAGTCGCCCGAGTTAAAGTTGAACGCATCGTTTGCCGCGATTTGTACCCTGTGTACTGACGGAATCGCAGATTATTCAATGATTACATCGACATCTCCGTAAACATTGAATTTTAGTTGCAATTGTGGTCCATGTTTTCCGCAACTTTCAATATTATTTTGGTAAATTTCGTTGCGGGACATTTGCATTTTGCACGGTAATGTTGTCTATCGAATGATCTTCATTCAAATTATTATATCACAATGTTCTCCATACTTTCCATTCCAAACAATTGTTCAATCGTGTTTATTTCATCTTTGTATGCAGCAGCTCGTCCACTTCGCTGCGCAGTGGCACTGCGCAAGCAAATGGCGACCACTAGCATTACCCCTAGATCGAATCTTCTCAAGCTTGATGAAATAAATTCATTTCATCCATCCTTTCCTGCACAAATTAATACAATTTCTGTATGATTAACGAAGATAAACGTTTGAACTTAAGGAATCGACAATTTACAGTACGATTCCGTAAAAAAGATCGTTTCGAAACAGCTTAATGGATCGCCGGTGATCAGTAGGGATCCAGCAGCGATTCATCTGCGGGATTAACACCGCGGAGGAAGGATTTAATAAATTCTGGAGAGTCGCGGAGAGAAAGCCGCGGGGTGTCCGCGAATCAGTCGATCTGACAGAAGATTAAACGCGCGGTATAATACATTAAACTGGAGCGGTGTCTCCGCCGCAAGAAAGCGTGCCGCGCGCGTGGCCGACGTTGATGCATGGGCAGCTTTAAAACTTGGCCCATCTGTTCCTGAAATCGCCCGGAGTGTAAAGCCTTCGATTGCGAATCACTAGGGGAAGAGGAAAGAATGTCGTCCTTCTTCGCAACGGCTGCGACGCCGTATCACGAAAGAAATCCGGCATAGTTCAAACTCCAAACAATGCGTTACAAAAGAAAACCCTGGAAATTCGTACGTACCACGAAGATTGGTCATTTAATCCTCCACGTTTCATAAATAGCTTTATCTTCAAATGTAGACATAAGGATTAGTCGATGACTTTTAATCTCTTAATCTCAACTTCTTGCTTTAGATTGCGTTAATCTCATGACTAACATTGCAAATACAACACGTTGAATGCCATGGCAGTCACTGGTAACTTCCAATCAAATCGACTTTAGTTCGCTCAATTAAACGATGATTATTCGAAAATATTTCTAAATTATAAATAACGCTACCTAATGCGGTGACGTTCAGTTACATGGACGTGCAATTATAATAATGTAATTCAATCGTATGGTTTAATATTTGATTCCCTCCATTTTGTGTATTTTCCAGGAAATCGTGCGGCATTCAACGTGTTAACAAACACGAATATCATTCAAATCTCTTGGATTTAAATTAGGTATCACTCTTCTGTTATCGGTTCTATTATCAATGAATATTTGAAAAATCCCAAAAGCAAGGGGTCAACGTATCCAGGGCCTCTACAATATTCTGAAGATCCCGAACAGCTGACACGTTCGAAAGGCCTATTCCCGCTAATTTAATCCGACGGACGATACAGCTGTTCAATTTCCTCAAGAATCCCGTTTCCTTGTGCCCCTTGGAGGGTCCAGCATTTAGAATCAGTCAGCCAAGCGTCCCCACTTGAGGATTATTGGCCAAAGAAGGGGGTCGAGTCGCAGCGCAGGGACAAGGCACTCGGCGTTCGCCGTTCTCCCTTTCCTCCGGGAAAGGAAATTATTTCTCCCGTCGAATCTGGTCGGGGGACGGCGCCTGTCCGCGAGGAAAGCCGATTACCAGCTGTAATCGTCCGGCGGCCTGATAAAAGAACCGAACCGAGAAGTCATCGGCTCCTCGCCCCGTCCTCCCGTCATCTTTGTTTTCGTCGATCGCGATAGACGCTCTCCTCCTAGTCGCTTCGTTTCCCTTCGAGCCTTCCTCCAACCTTTTTCTTCCTTTTCCCGCCCGTTTCCCGGGGGATAATCTAATTACGAGCGAGATAACCGAAGCTCTCCCTTAACGAAAACGCGGACGTGCCATTGCTTTTCCATCGAGCGTGCCCGTTTTACGGGCGGCCTCCGTTTCTCGCCGCCGGCTGCTCCCGATGAATTTGAATCGCGCCTTAAGACGCCGATCCCGGGAACGAGTGGTTCTCCCACGGTGTAGTACCACTGTTTATTGAAATTGAGGCGTCTGCCAGGTGGAGAAGAGACTTTGTGCATTCATTCGGATCCTTATTCGACGAAATGGATGCCGATAGCCGATAGGCAGCGATAGGACGCCGCTGCGAGAGTGCTCGGGGAATGATAGATGTTTTATTGAAAGTGAAATTGTGAGCGCCAAGCGATGCTGCTAATTAATTAGATTGATGTTGCGTGATAAGCGGACGAGATAAGGTATTTCGTTAATTATGAAATATTAGGAGGTATTTGAGAGATATCTGTCAATTGGAAGATATGGTATGATAATAGGATGAGATGGATGCTTCATTGATTATAAGATATTAATGTGTTCTATCAATTAGAAGATATTGTATTAATATTTTTAGATTGTACGTCAATATAGACTGATCGATATTGTACATTTTTCCATTTAATTTATTTCCTTTAAATATACACCGTTCAGCACCGACGAACATTGTTATATAACACTTTTATTTACTCGTTGGAAAAGTGAATGAAATATCCGCAATACAAGAACTACTATGCAACGGTGAATATTGAGAAAGGTATTTGCATATATTATTCACATCTGAGTGAATTTAAAAATTCAGGGATTTTTAAAATTCTTTGGATAAACAAGTTTATCTATTTAACCATATTTCCCATCTGCATCGGAGAGTGGGGTCTTTTAATTGCATACGGAAATATCGATTAAAAATTCGCTGCGCGCCGTCCTGCCTCCTACGGGAATCCCCCGGCGGCCATTGATCAGTTTCTCATTATGTAAAACAGTAAAGCAAGAGTAAATTGCGAATTGTAAATTACAAGCGTCCCCCGGGCGGCACGGTGAAGCTTTCTAGTATCGATTGGCCACCGGCGACGGCATTTTTCTTTTTCCCTTCGTTTAAGCGTGCATCTCGATGGAATGCAACGTGTTCCCGTTTACATTAATATTGAGTGGTCCCTGGCAGTTGGTTTTGATTTATCGTTCATCGATAAATTCACGAAGATGCGGGTTGCTCAGCTTTTTTTGCAACGACTAATGATGTTTGCACCGTTGCATTTATTTTGTTCGTTAACGTGGCGCCTGCAGCCATTAGTAATCGATGCACCAAGTTCGAACTGGTCCAGAAAAAGTCTCAGCGACTCAAAGACTTCCCGTTCTGTTGCCAACTTTCAAGCTTGCAAAAATTCCTGATAGAGTCGTCGGATAATTCTCTGTAGTTACTATTCTTTAGCTCTGCCAAACAAGAAGCGCAATGTAAACATTAATTTGCTAGACTAGAATAACAATACTAAAAATTTTACTACTAGAATTAGTCAATCTAGCTAAAGTTTCTATTCTTTCACTCTGACAAACAAGAAGCAAATGAAAAGATTAATTTATTAAACTAGAATAACAATACTAACAATTTTACTACTAGAATTAATGAATCCTCTCTAGCTAAAGTTTCTATTCTTTAGCTCTGCCAAACAAGAAGCAAATGAAAAGATTAATTTGCTAAACTAGAATAACAATATTAAAAATTTTACTACTAGAATTAATGAATCCTCTCATTCTACTATTAGATTCTCGACTACTTCTAGTAAAATACTCAATGTTACAAGAAAGAAATCAAATGCCTCCACGGATCTCCAACGTTCTCAAAATCATTGCGAACTCACACATTTCTTTTGCTCCGAGAACAACTTAAAATTCATAAAAGAGTACAACGACCAGTTTTGGTGCACTTTTATCAAGAATCCCCCTGAATCTGTAAGACCTTTCTTCCTAAGAAAAGAGAGAGAATCAAAAACTTCGGGTCACTGAGAGAGGGTCCATTGTCGGACGTTTCTCTTCCTGGTCTGGGCACTAATCCAAAATTAAGATTAAATCTCTACGAGCGCAGCTCTATCTACGGCCCGCTCTTTCCAGAACTCGAAGAAGCTGTTTGTGTGGGAGAACAACGAGGCAGTTTCGGAAATCATCGCCGAGAAATCGCAGCCAGTGGTGCGCCGTTACAATGTGCCGGTGCCCGGCGGCTTCAAAGCCCGCGTCCGTCTGCTGATCCCGCCTGACGCCGACCTGTCCGGTGCTACGAAGTACCCGATGCTGATCTTCGTGTGAGTATCACCGGTTTTCGCTGGTTTAATTACCGGTAGACCGGTTTAATTAGGGCTTGGACAATATTGATTAGTTCTACAAGAGGCGAGTGGAAGTTCTAACAAGGAATCGGTCGCTTTACCGTAAGCGAACAGGGTATTACCTTTATTTTCATTGCCATTTTGCAACGAATTGCTTCTAATTCAACAATTAATTAATTGCTGATAGAAATTATTGAGTAGCTACTTTTATTTGATTACGTTTAATCGAGAGAGACTTTTAACTTCGATTAGTGAAACTAGGTTTTCTATTTAATTGAGATTAATGGGATCAGAGTTTTATGTAATTAGGAGCATTGGTACGTTGGATTCATATTTAATTGCAATCAATGGCATTAGATCTTTATTTAGATACTATTAATAGATTCGATTAATTAACAGGAAAAATGAATTATCAATGAGTGAGTTAGTTTAAAATTAAATAAAGTCGTCCCGAAAATCACTATATTCTCTCCAAACATCAACCGCGTAGAAACCCATGAATTCATTTTCGATGGACATTCTGGTTCCATCGGGCGGGCATCGCTGTGTATAATTAAACGCAGGAATAGTAATTACACGCTGATGGGAGCTTTATAAATAATTCATTGTTAACAATTATTCCCGTATTGGCGATATCAAGAAATTAACGAGTTAATTAAATGATACCGGTTGCCCGTCGCGTAACACACTGTCGACGGCGGTTTTTCAGTAATTTCGTAATTACCGTGCGAAATCGATGCACCCGAATAACGATAAGAAATTACCGTTGTTCCGCGGGACGGGTATGCGAATATTCGTCGCTTCCGGCGGGCTGCACACGCGTGACCGTCAGTTTGACGGAAACACGGCGAGTTGACGCGAGAGATACACCGGCGCGATATAATAAGCGCATAAATTTTATACTGCGGCGAGATATCGAGTTGCGCGCGAATATGTTCGCATATGTGCGATATTGTTTTTCTATTATTTATTTCGCGGAGAAGGGAAATAGTAAAATAGGGAATAACAAAGGAGAAGCAAGTGCTCAATCACAGTTGATCCATAAGTAGCTAAAATAGACCTCAAGCTAACCGTTAGCTACCAAAATATTTGCATTCGTTCAAATTTCAGTATTACAATATTTTTGCATATATATTTTATTTTCAAATGTATTTTCGCGAAGAAGGGAAATAGTAAAATAACGAATAACGAAGGAAAAGCAAGTGCGAGTCACAACTGATCCATAGGTAGCTATGATAGACCTAAAGTTAATCGTTACAATATTTCTACATAAATATTTTATTTTCAAAGCTCAAATTCCAGTAAAAGTGTCCAAGTAAACTAGAGATCCGAAGAAGTTTTACTAAATTGTTTAGAGGACGTGACAAAGTATGTAGAAAATATAAAAATTCCAAATATTGTTTAGGGGTAATTTCTTGTTGATTATAACATTCACAATGAATCATGGTTGCGTTCTGGGAATTAGAATTAGAAAATGTTCATACTTGCACATGAACTTATTTATGCCGGTGCCTAATGCATACGGCAAAAATGCCATGTAAATTTATGCGGGAGCGCGGCGAAACTTAAACGATTCCAATGCAAATCAGCGATCGTCTCGTGTCAGGTGCCCCGACAATCGGAAAGGAACCATCGAGGCCCGTGACTCGCAACGTTTCTTATTTTTCGACGTCGTCACCGTCGGCGAATCTACTCCGTGGCGCACAAAGCGTTCCGCTGTTTATCGCAGATTATAAATATTTATACATTCCTTTCGGACGAACGGCGCGATAGAATCGATTCGTCATCTTCGTTTTTCCTCGCTGTTGCCGGTATTTTTCCTTCCCCTTCGGAATTGCACATCATATTTCCACCTCGATTTGCAATTTAATTTTTCGATTGTCCAAATAGCTTCGTCCTTTCCGAACACTCTTCCAAATAGAATGATTCCAGCGCGATTTAATTGACGATCGCGATTCGACGAATGAACGTTGAACAGCTTCGCTGTAAAAATTTCAATTAAAATTCGATGCGCGCCGCGTTAACGATGTTCAATTGAATTGTGCATCCTTGACGGACAGCCTCGCAAATTAACACCATTTTTCAATGCCCTCCGCCTCGATGAACCTACGAACTCTCGTTACAAATGAATTTTCGTTATAAAAGATCTCGCTGCGAGAGTCATGCATTGTAAATTAATGTTAATTAACGCCGACGACCTGTGAGCTCTCGTTGCGAGTCAATTTTCCTGATGTACCGTTCGAAAAAGCACAAATACCGAAAGTCAATTGTAATCGACATTATTATCATTTGAACGTAAATACGGATCCCGTGGACGGATTCGAAATTCCCGCAATAAAGGGCAAAATGGCGACCGATTTGGTTGCGCGCCGGCTATTGTTTCGGCATGCGTTATTTTTCATATGGAAATACCGCGAGCAGGGTCGTATGAATACGCTTTTAATGTCTCCGCGGAGCGGATACGAATTATTCGATAGAGAAGGATAAAGGAAGGAATAAAATGAAGGAAAAGAGATAAAGAAAGGCGGAGATAACGGCGGCGACGGTGGCGCGCGTCAGCCGCAGATATATCATTTATCAGAAAGTTTTTGCGGCGGCCTCTATTCTATTAAAAGGTGTCGCGTAACGTCGGAAATATCGCCGCGAAATTCATTCGCCTCTATGTAAACGAGCGTCGCGGATTTTTATGGAGTCCGCAGTTAAATCCCTTCGAAGAATGAATATTAACGGATCCGATTGGATCGCCATATTCATCGGGGAATCGTTCGGTACCAAAGAAAAAAAGGAAGTTGGAAAGCCGAAGAATAATTCTGCGCAGATTTGCGTGTACACACACGAATGGCCTTGCCGCTTCTCTTTTTCTTCATTATCCCCGTGACTTTCTCGATGAGTGATTGAAAAGGGAGCGAGAGAAATAAAGGAGTCCCATTAAATTCGTCAAACGACGCACAGTGGGATATTTGGTTGATTTGAACCGATTTGTCATATATTCGGCTATGTTAAACAGCAAAAATTTGTTGGTTTACGTAAAACTTTTAAAATGGGCTTTTGACTGCCCGGACCGTGCGAATACTCACACTGTGCGACGGGTCGATCGGTTAAACGAAACTCGATGAACTAATTACGTTCCGAACACGTTTTCATTTAATTTTCATAAATCTCGCGAGTGTAAGTGGCGTTTCAGTGAGTGACGCGTTTAAATCGAGAAATCAATTCTCCCATTTTTCGTATTGGATTGACAACATCAGGTCGTATTTACCGAATTTTGGTTCTTAATTACGTTAAGGGTTATTAGTTTCATTTGCTAATAGCCTCTCGTTTTAGAACAATTTGTCGGATGTTCCTTGCCAAATTTCCATTTCGTTGGCACTTCTTCGTTAAATAGCCATTAGTTCGCGTAGCTGCCGGTTCTAACGTACTTATGTAACTTCCAAAAATAAAACACCTAATTAACATCCTTTCACAACCAACTTCACCAACTTCCAAGCTCAATTAGTTGTAAATAGCTGAAGATAATTTTAGTTATCGATCTATTACATTTCGCATCATTTAAATCTGCAAATTCCTACTGAAAAAGGTATATCCACTCGCAAAGCGTCTCACTTAAGACTGAATACTCATATTTTGTCTATCTTTAAAGATATCTATAAAATAATACTGGAATTAGACTTTCTATATCTCTATACATCTCATTTATCTATATACACATTTTATATATCATATTCATCTACCACTAAACTTCAATACCAAAGCCTAATCAAGTCAACATACTTTCCTTCATTCTTGAATAGATTAATCCTTTGCAATTAGAGATGGCTCTCATTCACTTGATTCGATATAACAAAGTACAAAGATCTCATGTAGAACATTAAGCTTTGTACAATGCATCGGTACGTAAAATATTCAAATAAAACAGGTTCATTAATTCACGTTTTTTCATTAGTTAAATTCAAAGAATGTCCATATTTCATAGGAAAATTTTAAATATTTCCAGTAAAAAGCTTTTCAAGTGCACAGAATTAACCCTTTGCACTCGAGAGGTGACTCTCACTCACCACTTGATTTTATACAGTAAAACTATAAAATTTGATATTTAATATTATATTTCCTATAATGCATTAGGTTGAGAAATATTGAAATAAAATAGCTTTGTTCCTCAATGCACGCGTGATTTCTCGTCGACTTAGTTTCACAAAATATCGATTTTATCTCATCAGAAAATGTAAAAACATTTCTAGTGAAAAACTTCGGAGTGCAAAGGGTTAATAATTTTAATCCTTCCCCACAAAGTGAACAGATTCTACAATCAGTATTTCTCCTTTTTCCAGATACGGTGGTCCAGATTCGTATCAGGTGACGGAAAAGTTCAACGTCGACTGGGGTACATATCTGGTAACGAACAAGAGCATCATTTACGCGACCATCGACGGCAGAGGTTCCGGCCTAATGGACAACGGGATGCTGTTCGCCGGATACAGGAAGCTGGGCACCGTCGAGATCGCCGATCAGATTAACGTTACCAGGTGAGCCACGGTTACAAAGTGAAAGAAACTTCGCCGGTTTGCATATTCCGATACAGTCGCAACTCCATCTCACGGTCCCTCTTCTTTCGTTGGTCTCCAGCGCGGATAGAATTCTAATTTTCCATCGGCTCTTCCGGCGCACAGTCGCGTTATGCAAATTCTGTCCCAATTTGACAGGTTCTCCAGTTCTATAACGTGACCGACGGCGCACGGAGAGTCCGGCGAGGTAATCCTACCAGCTCCGCGAAGTATATTATAAATCCACCGCGGCCGCAGCTCTAACTTTTCTTTTCAGAAACTTTCGTAATCAACGGGAACAATGTTTACCGTTTCGTTTCTTTGACCGAGGCTCCCTGTTGCGTCGTTTGAACAGGGGAACACATATTTTCCACTTTGAATTGAAAAGTTCTATTTACATCTGCTTCGCGTTGCTCTGCGGGCCCTTTATTTCCCGCGAAAGTTAGTGGAACTGTAAGCAGAGGATAGTAGATCTTTGAGAATATACTTTGCGGTAACCGAGCCGTTTTTTTCTGATAGTTGTTACAAGTCCGTTTGTTTCAAACATTGAGATATTTGGGTGCTTGCTTTCGAATCGACTTCAAAGTATTGGCAAGTTTATAAAACCATAAAGTTGTTGAACTTTATTGTGCAATAATAATTAAGAAAATTATTACAATATAAACGATCTTTTAGCAAATGGGCTAATTCCAGTTTCAAAGGAAACCTTTTTTGCGATGACTCTTTACAATTAAACTTCTTTCGATTAATTTATGAGGATATCATAAGCCATTAATTGCGATCATATATACAAAAAAAAAGGATATGTATATCTCACTAAAGCTACCGTCGATTCATTTTCTTCTAAAAACAGACTTATACCACTTCAAATAAAAACTACTCAAACGTTTCTATACGAAAGTCCGCAACACCGTTTCACGCTGGTTCTCTTCCATTGTCGAAAGATTAAAAATTCAAACCAAAAATTGATTGCTTTCTCGGTAAACCTTCGGTTCGATTGCATTTCGTGCACCTTTGGCGCGTGAATGGCGCGGCGTCGCTCGCTCAAAGACAAAAGTAGCTCTTTCATCTAGCGCGAAATTCTGGAACAATATTTCCGGCCATTTATTCATTTACTCGGCGAAATGGAGGAATTACGTCGTGCGCAATTTTCGTTCCGTTATTCAGTCGACAGGCCCGAACAAAAAGAAAGCAAACGAGCTGAGTTTGCCACCGTGCGCACACGTATTGATACCTTTCACGGTGAAATACACCCGCCGTTTCTATTTACATACGTAACGGATGATTAATTCCTAATACGCGGAACGCCGACGTACAATTTCCTCGGTCGGCGGTAATATTTTCGTCCGACGCGTAACGAGCTTCCGACATTTTCGTTTCTGCCGCGGGTGGAAAAAAGAATTGCGACGCAGTTCCGGTCGGTAGTTCGCCGATTAAAATGCAAATAGATCAGAATTTTATAGTTTCATTGTGTTTCCCGAGCGGCGGACGGAGGGGTGGTTCGATTTGATCGCGACACCCGTTCCCTAATTCCTTCCTGCAACCTATTTACATGTAAAATGTGTTCGGGGGCGCAATTTATCGAATGTCGCCAGGTCAGGAGGTGTTTTAAATGCAAAAAGACTCATTGCGCTCTTGTTAGCCTATGCATTTTTAATGGGCGTACGTCAACAAAAGAGCCCGACGTCGCCGACCGATTTATATTTATGCGCCGCCGCGTCCGCGCCGCGGCGCTCTTCGCGATCTGATCCGATATATCCCGGCTGACGTCGGGATAACTCAATTTATGACGTCCCTGCCACCGCTCTTCGCTTCTCTTTCCATGAACGTTTTTCAACTGTCGTAATAATTTATTCGATCGCCGGCGAGTGTAACGAATATTCATTCGAATCATTGGAAACGTGGATCTGGACCGAGATGGTACTGAGAGATTGTTCCTCAAGATGGCGGACGTTGCCGCCATGTTCCTAACCTATGAGCTTACTTATCTTAACTCGATATGTTCGAAACGTATAATTCATAAGGTAAAAAATTCCAGTATTGGAATATAATAAGAAAATTACAAGTCCTCGCGAAATTATCTATCATTCTATCGCTACAATTATATACAATCATTTTCATTCGTTATTCCAGCAGCTCTATTCAAGAGAGAATAAGTAGAAAAAGTATAATATTAAATCATTTGATTGAATTCCATTATTATTGCATGTTCATCTAGCTGAATGTCACCGCATTGGGCAGCATTATTTATAATATATAAATCTTATAAATAATCATAGCTTAACTGAGTAAACTATAGTAATCCCACGGCATTCGACGTGTTACCTTCCGTCTGAATCGACTCGGATTCCCAAAAGTGTCACTGACGAACGAACAGCCCCCTACAAATGAAAACCTACAAGCAAAGTGTGTTCACAGACAAATCCTCCCTTCATCCCCGGTACAAAAGAAACACCGCGGCAACCGAAAAATCCCAGATCGCCTAAGCTTCGCGTCGATTACTTAACCCGTTTCAAGACGTCTGCCGAGTGACACCGGAAGGAAATACGAGTCGACGGGACTTCGGTCCCCTCCCCAGAGGGTTCAGGGACCTGCGAACCTGTCCGGGGCTCGGTCTATAAATTCGGAAAGACGCGAAAGTAATTCCAGCCCCGGGGCTTCTTAGCCGATAACCGTGAACACGGGTCGCGCGGAGAAAAGAACTTTCGTTTGAGGGGTCGCGCATTCGTCCGTCGCGTCGCGTCGACGGGAGCAGGGGTCGGACGTGGCGAGTTTGTTAGCTGGATTAGTGGATTACCGCGTCGTTCGCCCGATAAGTCAGTCGGCCAGGCCGACGGGACGGGGACGGGATGGTGAACGTCGTCGGAAAGGCTCTCCCTATAATTAGATTTGCCGTAAAGTTGCCAGGGAATTTCAAGAAACGCGGATCCGTGCCGCGACTCGGCAACTCCTAGCTTTCGCCGTCGAAACCACCCCCTGAAGAGCTTCATAGTGCCGCGGCGGGGTTCTTTGTTCCGTTGGCCGACAAAAGAGAGGACGGAACAGCCGGTGAGAACATGTGGGCGACGAAGAAAGCGGACATTTGAATTTTCAGGTTTAAAAATCTGGGAAACTGGACTTTCTGCGTCGTTAATTCTACACGCGTCGCGATTCTGCCGAGTCTGGAGGAAATGGTTGTTGCGTTTTTGATAGAGGTTTCGTTGCTGTGCTTATTTCTCCGTCGAGAGAGGTAGATTGTTGAAGGTTTTTGGGGATTTCTGGGTTTCCAGTGGTTTGAGATTGATGATTTTTATGTAAATTTCGGAGGAGGTGTTATGGAGAATTTGATTAACCCTTTGCACTCAGAAGATTCTCGATAGAAATATTTGAACGTTTTCTAATGAGATGAAGATGGTATTTTAATAACTCGAAATCACGCGTACATCGAGGAACAAAGCTATTTTATTTCAATGTTTGTTATATTGATGCGTTGTACAAGGTATAATATTAAATATCAAATTATAAAATTATCAAAAAAATAATATTAAATAAAAATATTAAATATCAAAAACTATAAAGTTTGACTGTATGAAATCAAGTGGTAAGCGAGAGTCACCTCTCGAGTGCAAAGGGTTAAGTATTCTAGTGTTTGAAAATTCGATTTAATAATGAAGGGAGTTTCAGGAAGCTTTTATGAATCTTCGATTCAGATAAGTTTGAAGTTCCGATAGGTTGATTTCTTTATTAGTCTTGCTGTTTATCGAGGTATTTCTTATTATTACATTGCAAATGGAATGATATATATATTATAGAATATATTGCAACATTCATTGTTCACAGAAAAATGCACGTGCACCCTTGACGGAAAATCAGATTTCCGGCCGCGTTTCGCACACGTCGGCCCATTCTTCCGTAAATATAATCCAGACCGTTGATACAATTCCTCAAACGTTCGCCGAAACTCTTCTTCGAGAACAACGTTCGCCTCAGCCTAGTTGCTTCTGTTTGAATGGCCGAAATACCGTGGCATCGTTTTCCTTTCACGGAAATGCTCAGCCTGGGAACACGAAAAAGTACGGCGAGGCGAAATCCGGCAAACACCGGGGAGCGTGCCGAGGACTCTGACCCCGAGTTTCGCTTGGAAATTGTGTTGCGAGTGCTGACGATTGGTTTCCGCCGCGGTATAACTGTAACGCGGCCGATCGCGATTCACGAATATTCCTGCGAGCGTTCCGCGCCGCGTAGGAGGGTACTGGCATCCGCATTCAGAATCGGTGCAAATAAAATTCCTTACGGAAATATTGAGGATTTCAGTGTGAACACCTTGGAACTTGTTGTACAACCAATATTGATGAAAATCAGATAGACAATTGAACTGGTAAACTTACGAATTTCATTCAAATATTTCATTTCAGTTGAGAATCTTATTAACTTGATAAACTCGCTGAATACTCTGTGAATATTAATTCCTTATTATTCTTGGAAAACTTAATCTCAAATTTCCCAGTTTTCGAAACTGCAATACCAAAAACAAGTAAACTCAATTGTTACTCACAGTATATACGATATAATATTCATAACTTTAATATTAACTGATACTTCAACAGTTTTTCATTGAAAATACTCAATACCTTCTAAGTCGCACGTAATTTAGGTAGAAAACTATTTTCAAAGGGTTGACACGTTCAACGCCATGCGATTTCATAGAGCAAAGTACACAAAATGGGAAAAATTCAATGTTAATGATTTAATAGTATAAATATTAATGATTTAATAGTATATCATTCCTTTTGTTCTCATAAGTGACTGAGAGTCACATCATGGTATGATTCGTTATAGAAACATGTGGCACGATTAGGGTTACGGAAGCTTGAATTCTTCGGAAACTAGGGTTAACAAGGTCGGCGCGCGACACGATTGACTATTCGAGGACGGTTCAACAAACTGGCAGCCCCGCGCCGCTCCCTTAATACGGGATATCGCGTTCAGATTCTAACTTTCGT